GATTTTGACCATCGTTCAATAAATAATACAATATGCATCAAAACGTCGTGGTAACGATCTGACTCTTTTCAAGAAAGCCAGTACTCCAAAGGAGTATTCAATATAATTGCACAAGGTGGCCATCATCTGGAGTCAAATGTTGCCTTACAGATCACTTAATGCTGTCTCTCTCGACTGACGACAAAAAGTGACGAAAGCACGGGACTTTACAATCGAAGATACGATGGCTTCTGTTGATACTTAGAAAATATCATGGGTGATTGGAGAAGTTTCATCGAGCAGACACTTCCATCAAAATTCTTTTGGGCTCGTTTCAAGACAATGATATGTTTCATTTTAGTGTTATTGAAAGTGATATTTTAGGTCAACTTTGGCGTAATATCTTGAATTTACTATTTTTTTCATATGGGCTTGACTTTTCTTGGATACTAAATTATGTTGCCCTTCTAAATAGTAATGCAAAAGTATTTGGTAACTTAATTAATCAAAGAAAAGTTGATAACCGTTCTAACTGAAGTTGGTAACTTGTAAAAAGAATTGGTAGATTTAACTAGTTCTTAAGTAAAGCAAATGCAAGTGGTAATTTAATAGAAAAGTTGGTAAATTTAGGAAAAAAAGCCGAATGGAATTGGTAAGCAACTCAACTGAGAGTTGGTAATCTAAAATTAGTCGGTAAATCAATGGAGAAAAGGTGGTAAATCATACAAATAAAAGTTAGTAAGTTGATAAATTGAATGTGCTTGTAAGAAAGACAAATAAAAAAATGGCAAATGATAAAAAAATCGATAAATGAAAAAGCCAAATGGAAGTTGGCCAGTAACTTAAATGAGAGTTGATAACCCAAAATGAGATGGTAATTTAATATGGAAAAGAAGTTGATAATCATTCAAATAAAGATTGGTAAATTCAAATAAGAGTCGGCAAATATAAGTTAGGTAAGAATAACAAATAAAAATTGTTAAAAAAAGTTGCAAATTTTGTAAAATATGAAAAAGAATTGGTAATTTCATAAAAGTGTCAATAAGTTATCATTATACTCGGAATCGGATGACCGACAAACACTTTTACCAATGCTCGTTTTTTGACTTACCTACTTCTTTAGATATTTACCGGTATGGAACGATGAATTATTAAAAAAATCCTGCAACATTTATTCAAATATTTTAAGCCTAACATTTCTGGTCAATGTTTGAGGCAACTCCATCAATTTTGACCCTAAGAATTTGATCCCAAAGTAACTTTTGACCCTCTCAGCCTTCGCTCAAGCTTCGGCAAAGACAATTCGTTTGGCCAAAATATTCTCCTTTTGGAAATATTTTTCCGAAGTCATTTTCCGAAAATATTTTCCCGAACATAAAGTATTCGCCACAATATGAAAAAGTTTCGGAAAATATTTTTCACCGGCGGCGGGCGGCGAGACGCGGCGAGCGAGGCGGCGGCCCGGCGCGCGGGACGGTGACTGCATTCTCTCATCTGTTTTTTCCTCGTTTTCTGAGTTGGATACGTTGATGATGTCATGCGGTTGCACCAATAGATAAGTCTGTAACTTCACATCATTAAAAGAGGAAATTTTTTTCAAAAAACTTTATATATGATATATAATTGAAATTTTTTTTTATTTTGCCTCCTCTAATCTTGAATTTTCGGTCCGTCGTTGCACTTGAGTGCATCCACACATATATGTAGAAAATAAATTTATTAGGCTCCGTTTGTTTCGCGAAAATTGATAATTTAAAAAATATTTTCTTAATAATGACCACTTAAAAAAATAAATCAAAATAATTTTTTTATCATTATTTACATAAATATTTAGATATAAATTATTATTGATAATGAAAATATTTTTCATTAACTAATTTTTTCTAGCTATATAAATGATCATTTTTAGGTAAATATTTTTTAAATTATTTATTTTTTTCGCTAAACAAACGGAACTTTACTTTACACTTAATTCATTTCCCATGGAATATGCCTTTAATTTCTCGGTCCTTTTAGCTTAACTAACTAAGTTCAGTGTTTATGGGTTGGTGTAATCAGTGACTCATCCCTAGTTATAAAAATCAAAATCTTTGACTTCATATACGAAGCAAAAATCAGAAGAATTGTCAAATCGACGCCATTGAATTTGTTGGAAGAAAAATCCTGAATTCTCGAATTCAACGAAGGGACGTTCTCTCCCATTATTCAAACCCACGTTGTTGCTTTGACGACTTGGGGGCAAGGACGTGTCGGGTTGCGTTCCTCGCAAGATGCGGACGGTGACTGCATTCTCTCATCTGTTTTTTCCTCGTTTTCCGAGTCGAATATATTGATGGTCTCATGCTGTTTCACTGATAGATAAATCTACAACCTCACACCAGTAAGGAACATTACAATGTTGCCCTAAAGTCGATGAGCTATGAGTAGAACGGTACGTGGGTGAGATTACCTATAATGGTATCGTGATCGGAAGGATGTTGCGCATCTTATATGTCTTTGATCTCACATCGTTATAACTTGGATAATTATACTGGCAAATAAGTCTCGTACTTCTTAGCCGTGAAAGTCCGAGCAATTTGAAATCAAAATAGATAATGTTGTTTCAATGGTGGGTTTTGGTGAGATTGTTGTCGATGGATTGTGCAACGAACTTTCTCACCCCTCCCCTTTTTCTATATATGTACATGTTTCTAGACTTACCCTTGGCCTCTCTATATTGATTGGCTGATGAGTAACAGTGGCGGAAATTATTCAATTAGTCATAAACCTACTATGTATATGTCAATTTACACTAAATTTTCATACAAAGAAGTTTGGAACTAAATTGACAAATCGAAAAGTTTAATAATGAATTGGCATTTCAACAACAGATTTAAGATTGATTGAATAATTGTCCTGTTTAGATGAAAATAAAGATGAAGTTTGGGACTAAATAGACAAACTAGAAAAGTTTAAAATTAAATTGACATTTGTATAATATATTTAGGACTGATTGGATAATTTTCCCATTTAGATGAAAATAAAGACGAAGTTGGACGATTTTGTAGTTGAAATATCATTCCAAAAACATTTAAATCTGCCAAGGTACTCGCAAGCAAACATAGAGACACATTCCTTGGAAAGACAAATACCATACATACATACATACACACACACACACACATATATATATATATATATGGAAAGGTTGGCGGCGGCTTAGAAAAATGATCTATCATTTTTCTAAGCCGCCACCAACCTTTCCAAGCAGCCGGCAGAAATTGCTGACCCACGTCGATTTGAGAGCATTCTTGGTAGGTCCAACATGCTCTCTCATCCAACCCAATTTGACCTTTCTTCATGGTTATTATGATATTAGAAAACATCTGCTTAGGCTTCGATATTCTAATACCCATTTTTTATATAGAGTAGCTCTAGAGGAGTTAGAAATTGGGTTACACATTCAATTAATTTATTAAGTGATACGGCAAAAATAACTTCATAACTCAATCTAGTAAATTGATATTGGCGTATGTTTTGCATTATTTGTTCAATCATAGAACTCATTCCATTATTCAAATTTGTAATCTATAGAAAAAAAACGCATTAGAACCCTGCAAATGATCGGTTATTTTAAGTTTATTTCTTGAAATGTGATTGATAAATCAGGTGCTTCTTTTGAATGCTTGGTGTTCGGTTAAGAGTAACGTCATCAAAGGAAGAGAGTCAAAACTCCAATAAGGGCCTCTGTAACCTATCCGTTTGCATTGCAGTGATGGTAGGCTCCATAGATGCAATTCTTATTTTAATGTACCAATGCCCACATGCCATGTCATCTCAAACCTTTTTTTTTCCCGTGGGAGATGGGAATACCCTCTTTCTTCTTTACATCCATGGGATCCCGAAGTCCGGACAATGTCCTGGATGAAACTTTTTAGTGATTTGCTTAGGTCCTGCTATGGTGGCTAATTGTAAACTATTCTCCGACAAAGGCCACATGCTTATGCGATGGAATTGTCAATGTTGTCAATGGTCCATGGTCAGACTCTGAATTAAGTTGAGTTTTCAACAGGTGTATCAATAAACTTGTCGCATGGTATGCAAACATTCATTCTGCTGAAAACACAAATGCCTCGTAGTCTACATTGTCCTATGATATGACCCAACACTTTTTCACATGTTGTCCGAGCAATATCTAGGACCCTCATCCCATCCTAACGACGCTATAATTTCAAAAGAGAAAAAAGAGAAATTTATGAATCTCAACATACCATAATTAAATTAAATAAATGGCGTCATCGATAGAGCTCCAAAAGCACACAGAAGTTTTGTCGTGGCACGTAAGTTAATGATCCAATCTCTATTTGTTCGTCATGAAATTCTAAAATGAAGCTTGAATTCATGCGTGTACAAGAAGAATTGGCCGAAAATTACTGACGTTGACATTTTTAATAATATTTTAAATTTTTATGTTTTTTTTCTTTTTCTTTACTTTTATTTTTGTTTTATGGAGTGAGGGCCAGATTTGGTGAGGGCGTGGCTCGCCCAGAGTTGGTGAGGGTTGCCAGCCCTCACTTCAAAAAACAATAAAAAGTAAAGAAATGGAAAGATAAGAGAAGAAAAAACCAAAAAAAAATTATGAAAAATTGAAAAAATTATTAAAAATGTCTACGTCATAGCCAGACCGTGCCACGTAGGACGTCCGACATCCATGTTAGCAGTTTCCGTTCCAAATTAGGCAAATGGACTCAATTGGCAAAATGGGAAAAAATTTAGGATTTAGTTGGTACAATTAAAATATTTAGGACTTAATTGATAAAAATGCAATAATTTTAGGACTTTTTTTTTTGGCAATTTTCGTACAATTCTTAGCTGCCAGCTTTAGTAAGCTAAAGACAATTTTTCAGAAGAGAGACCGTTCCATGAATTAATGCATCTTAACTTCAAAAGTAAAAAATAGATGTAAACCCCATCATTATTTTATTAATATCCATCAACTATATAAGTCAGAGCACAAGAAGAGCTAATACCACATCCAAAGCCTTGCAAGTAAACATACCACACTTCCTTCCCTTAAAGCAATGACAATATTCTCTTCAATGGCAATCCTGTTGCCTTCTCCTTCTGTCATCTTCGCTTCCCTCCTCTTCCTCTTCCTCATTCTAAAGAAATGGAAGAAATCCAATAATGCCCAAGACCCTTCTTCGAAATTGCCTCCAGGGCCGAAGATGCTCCCCCTTCTGGGGAACCTTCACCAGATGACAGGGTCGCTCCCTCACCACTCGCTTCGGGGGTTGGCAAGGAAACACGGGCCAATCATGCGGCTCCAACTAGGCGAGATCCTGACCATTGTCATCTCGTCCGCGGACATGGTCAAGGAAATCCTTGGCAAGAACGAGCTCACCTTCGCCCAGAGGCCCGAGATCTCGGCCCATGAGGTCATGTCCTATGAGAACTCGAGCTTCGTGTTCTCGCCCTACGGCGAGTACTGGAGGCAGATGCGCAAGATTTGCGTGTTTGAGCTCCTGAGCATGAAGAGGGTCCTCTCTTTTAGATCCATAAGAGAGCAAGAGTGTTGGAACATGATGAAAGCAATACAATCATCTCAAGGAAAGCCTATGAACTTGAGCGAGATGGTACTGAACTTGATTAACGACATCACCTCTAGGGCGGCATTTGGTGAGAGATGTAAATATAGAGATGAGTTCCTTTCTTTCCTCAAGGAAGTGACACTGCTTGCTGGTGGATTTGAGCTTCCAGATCTCTTCCCTTCAATTTGGTTCTTGCGTTATCTCTCAAGAATGAAACAGGCTTGGGAGAGACTGCACAAGAAGATCGATGTGATTCTCGATCACATCATTGAACTACACAGGGAGAAATTGAAGGGAAACGATGGGAACAACGAGGACAAAAATGCAAGAGAAGATCTTGTGGATGTGCTCTTGAATCTCCAGAAGAGTAGTGAAATGAACTACTTCATCAAACCACACGTCATAAAAAATGTTGTCATGGTAAGGCCTGTTTCATGAATAATTTCACTAAATATATGCTTTGCTTCTATCTGACTTACTAATGAGCTTTCATATACGCATGTACTATTTAAATACTATAAATTTTCTACTTTTCTTTCTTTTCTTTCATAAGTGAAGTTACGGGAAGAGGCGGCTAGCGCTAGCTAGTAGTCCGTTTTGGACTTTATTATAAGGATCTCACACTTGCTATAAAATATTCAATTTGAATCATTTAATTACATACTTAAATTTGCAAAAAGGAGCTCTTTTTAATCAGTATGGAGTCGGCATACAAGAATTCCAACCACGAAATGGATCATCTAAGATGTATTCTTGATAGAAAATATGATGATCGCATCCATGAAACCCTAACGTTCACAAGAATATATCGCATGGTGGATCAAAGAGTTTTTCCCTTGTTATTTTTGTGTTATTTCTGGATCAAGAGTTTGTATTAAAGTTTCCGTGACATTCCAAGTGATCTCCATATATAGTTTTGCTCATAAAAATACAATCTCTATAAATTTTATCTTGAATATATATAGACACACACTTATTCAAAGCTCTAAAGAGCCTTTGAGTCCAAGTTTGACCATCTCGATGACGACACACTTCCGTACCTGTTTATTGCGACATCTGATCTGATGCAACTATTTATAATCAGTTTGAACTGCTTTGATCTATATATATGGCCAGAAGTCTTGTAAAAAAAATATTTACCAAATCATTATTTGTTCGTCATTCTAAGTACACTCTATATCCTATCTAATTGTCCCATATTATGCAAAATATAAACCCATATTTCAGTCATCACCGATTGTGTCTTGTCATATCATTCGGTATATACTGATTTTGTGTGATATTGCTACGTTACAGGTTTAATATCATATGACACTTTATCTTTCATGTACTTTTTTGGACATCATTCAGAAATCTTTGATCAATCTGTTCCTAATTTTTCTTTGTATGTGCAGGAAATATTTTCTGCTGGGACAGACACATCCTCGACGACCATAGAGTGGGCATTCTCAGAGATGCTGCGAAACCCCAGAGTGATGGAGAAGGCGCAGGCCGAGGTCCGAGCCGTCCTCAAGGGCAAGACACAGGTCCGCGAGCAGGACATCCAGGGCCTCGAGTATCTGAAGCTCGTGGTCAGGGAAACCCTAAGGATGCACGCACCGACCCCGCTCATGACCCGAGAGTCGAGGGAGGCGTGCACGATCAACGGCTACGAGATCCCCAAGAAGACCAAGATTGTGATCAACACTTACGCAGTGGGGAGGGACCCCGGGTTCTGGTCAGACGCGGAGTCATTTGTGCCCGAGAGGTTCATGAACTCTTCAGTTGATTTCAGAGGATCGAACTTCGAGTTCATACCCTTTGGTGGTGGGAGGAGGATTTGCCCTGGGATCAATTTTGGGATTGCAAACATTGAGCTTCCCTTGGCTCAGCTCCTGTACCACTTCGACTGGTCTCTGGCTGATGGGCTTAAAGCAGGAGACCTGGACATGTCTGAGACTTTTGGGATCACTTCTAGGAGGAAGACTCCCTTGATCATGGTTGCTGAGCCCTGTGTCCCCTTCTCTTACGATGGAGATCATGATGAGTAGTTATCGAGATATGTAGCCATGCGTGTTAGATGAAGTCATTTGTCAAGTCTACCACATGTGTGGGGGAGTTCATGGTTGGGGAATTTAATTCTGTTTGTGTTTTTGCTTCTGTCACTTGTATGATATTGCAGTTCCTATTTTGGGACTTGCTGAATCCAATCAACGAGCTCATGTGATCAAAAGCGACATTGCGAACTCCATATGCACTAAATTTTCTTGTTACTGCATATGATTGATTAGTTCTTTGATGATCAGATGTGTGGTACTAGCTTCATTCTATCAGGGATTCCATTTGTTAAAACACAAAATCAATTCCGAGAAGACGTGGCTTTTAGCCTTTTCATTTTGTCGTTTTGATTGTAAAAATGAGTAATTATTACATGCGTAATCACGGTTCATGTATGTCCAATTCACATTAAACACCATATCGGGAGGGTGCCCACCTGATTTCACAATTCATGGGAGTACAGCTCACATAAATCGGGATCTTGTAAGAAATATCCATGACAAAAATGAGCAAGTCAAAGGAAAGTTTAGTGAAAGAAAGATCTACAATATGCCACTTCTTGAACAAGGGAGAACACTGTTTCAAAAAAAAAAAAAAGAACAAGGGAGAACAAGGTAGCTTCCAAAGGAGTAGAAGATAGCCACATTACTATTTATACACTGGACAGCCACAATCCAACATAAACACAAGTAAACATTTCAAACCAGACTCTTCAACTTATTTCTCGACTTCCATAAGACCCAAAATGTGACATCATAAAGACGACACATTCTTTATTTTTTATGTCTATTTTTGTGGCTCTATAGTTGTAGTTTATGGACAACCATTAGGGGCAAAACCTAGTCGTCCTCCGGCAACATCATAGATCACCTCGAACGTCTTTTGCTGCATGTTTACGTAGATAACGATGTCAGTGTCGTCGCTGTTTGCCGCGAACGTGAGGCAAACCTGCGACTCGCTCATGGTGTACAATATGCCGCTATGATCCAAGTCCATGAACGCGCCTCCGCTAAAGGTGAACCTTATCTTTGGGACGACGACCGACTTTGTGTTGCGGAGATCATAGCAAGTGTCCAGGATTTCGAAGCTCTTTGCCCTCTTGTAGCTCGCCATCTCCTTCCGGAAAGCGGTCCTCATGGCATTGTATGCCGTCGGGGGCAATCGCGTGATGACGGTCCCGGAGTCAATGATAGCATCCGCCTTCGAGAAGACTGTCGACGGCATTTGCAATTTAGTCCTGGCTACCGCTATTTCCACTATGTTGATGCCACAGAATAATGAGCTTCCTGGAATTGTTGCCATCGGTGTGAAGGTTAATGACTTAGGCGATTCACTAGTCTTGCCAAATGTTAAGTACCCGTTGAGCTGGACGATGAGGGCAAGCAATACGAGAAATATCGGCCATGCTTGTGGTTTGTCCCACGATCGACAAGCCGTCCCGGGCGAGGCCAAGCAGGCCGGCCACTTTACCAAAGAGGCCAAAATTGATTTCGCTGCACCCGAATAGGAAGTTCCTTACCACATCCGTGGACGTCAACGTGAACGTATCTGTTGCGAGGTTCCCAGACGAAATCAAACCGTCGCCGTAACTTATTTGGTAATTACAAGTCGAGCCGGAGCAACCTGCTCTCATTGAATACAATCATCATCTTTTGAGGCGCAATCCTTGTTTAGAAAAAAGAGAGAACTATGTGTACTTGAAAGATATGTACCTGATCCGAAAGCACTGCACACGGGTGTGAAGACTCAAGAACAATAAAAAACTGAAGCGTGAAAAAATCTAAAGAAGAGGAGAGATGAGGCCAAGGCTCTCTGTTCATTCAGAATTTTTAAGTCTTTAAAAATAGGCAATACATGACAGAAACACCACCAAAAAATAGGACCATAACCACCCATGATCTGCGTAAACCAATTACTCCACTAACTCCTAAAGACTAGGACAACTAACTCCTAAAGACTAGGACAACTAAGAAACAAATCATCAGCTAAACGTGCAGATAAATAACTATTATTTCAACAATCCCTCCCTTAAACTGATGTTTGCTAACATTCAGTTTAAAGCCTTGACTGTTTTCAGCGTGCGGACACCTAGTAACCTTCTGAGCTTCACAAACGACTCCATCTTGAGGGCCTTGGTGAATATATCAGCAACCTGATCTTCACTCCTGCAGTAGATTAGATCAATTGTTCCATCATTGCTAAGATCTCTCAAGAAATAAAACTTCACATCAATGTGCTTGCTTCTTCCATGTAGCACAGGATTCTTGGAGAGTTTGATTGCTGAGCTGTTGTCACAAAAAATTTTAGTAGCTCCTGGCTGCTTGAATTGCAACTCTTCAAGAATTCTCCTTAACCAAATAGCTTGACAAGCACAAGCTGTAGCAGCAACAAATTCGGCTTCTGTACTTGACAAGGTGACAATTGGTTGCTTCTTGGATGACCACGAAATAGCACCTGTCCCGAACATAAAAGCATAACCCGAAGTGCTCCTCCTATCATTTTGATCTCCTGCATAATCACTGTCAGTAAACCCCAACAAATTGGACTTTTCACCCTTCTTGTAAAATAGCCCAAAGTCTCTAGTTCCTTGCAAGTAACGAAGGATTCTCTTGGCAGCCAACAAATGCATTTCTGTAGGATTCTCCATATATCTACTGATTAAACTCACAGAATACATTATGTCTGGTCTTGTTGCAGTTAGATACATCAAACTGCCCACAATTTGTTTGTAAAGTGTGCTGTCAACCTTCTTCCCTTCATGATCTTTGTGTAGCTTTAAGCCAAACTCAACCGGAGTGTTTACCGGATTACAATCCTTCATCTGAAACCTATCCAAAATTTCTCCCACATATTTCTTTTGAGAAATGACGATCCCATCACTCGATTGTACCACTTCTATGCCAAGAAAGTAATGCATCATACCAAGATCAGACATTTCAAACTCATCCATCATAGACTTCTTGAATTCTTTAAACATGACATCACAATTTCCAGTAAATATAAGATCATCAACATACAAGCACACAATGAGCATTTTCCCTTTATCTCCAATCTTAACAAAAAGTGTATGCTCATAGGGACATTTCGAAAAACCACCTTTAAGAAAATAAGTCTCAATGCGACTATACCAAGCCCTTGGGGCTTGTTTTAGCCCATAAAGAGCTTTCTTCAGTTTGTAAACTTTATGCTCATTTCCAATCTTGACATAACCAGGGGGTTGTTCGACAAATACCTGTTCCTCCAAGTACCCATGCAAGAATGCCGATTTGACATCTAGCTGGAAAATAGGCCAAGAATTCTGCGCCGCCAATGCAACCACCAATCTGATTGTGTCATGTCTTGCAACTGGAGAAAAAACTTCAGTATAGTCAATCCCGTATTGCTACTTGTATCCCTTGGCTACCAAGTGTGCCTTGTACTTGTCAACTTCACCATTTTCTTTCAACTTTGTTTTAAAGACCCACTTTACACTGTCGCGACCGAACTCCCGAGCCCTTTTTGATTGAACATGCAAAAAAAGGGGGGGCTCGCCTGGTACGTGCTAAGTCTAGGTTCGGGACTTAACTCGGGCTCTCCTAAGCCCATACCATATCGCGACTTAGGGTTTAAGTTTTTAACATGCAAGTGGTTTATATCGAGGAGTCGCCACTAATCGATTTGGGGTGGGTCGATTAGAAACCCAAATAGGGTGACGGGAGAATCACCCTATTCCTACGAACCAGAGATTAAATGAGTTCGGGGACTTGGTTACACTAGTTGGATAACTAATGCCCTTTCGGTACCATTTTACCCTGTTCATTTATGAAAACATTTGTCAGGCAATTTGAATTGATTTTAGGACCTTTCTCCTAACATGTGAGGTGATCAAGCGAGTGCATAATCAGAAACGATCAGCAGTCAGGAACACAACAATTCATGCAGCCTAAGGTTCTAACCTTAACTAAGTCAGATGACATTCAAAACACAACTCATGCAATTGTATTAAAAACATGCATAACAATACAACGGTAATAAAAACTAACATGCAAAATACTACCGCGCAACCTCAGGCTTGTCTAATTTAAACAAGACAAAAACTTACAAAATAATATCACATTAGATTAAAACAACAACAATATATCACATAAATTTTTTTTTTTTAAAAATAAATAAATAAATAAAACAAAATACGAAATTTTTTTTAATAAAAAAAATAAAAAAAGGAAGGAAAAAGAAAAAAGAAAAAAATAATAATTAATTTTTTTTAATTTTTTTTTAAAAAAATAAAAATAAAAATAAATAAATAAAAAAAAGCGGAACCGGACCGGGTCGGAACCGACCCGGGTCAACGGACCCTACCCGGGGCGTTGACCCGGGTCGGATCGGCTGAACCAGGTCGGCTGGACTGACCCGGGTCAACGGATCCGACCCGGTCGTTGACCCGGGTCGGATCGGCTGAACCGGGTCGGTCCGACCGACCCGATTCAATGGATCCGACTGGGGCGTTGATCGGCTCTGTCAATCGAACCGGCCGACCGAACCGACGGTCGTGGGCGCCGAGAAAGCAAAAATCGGCCGCCGCCGCCTACCCAAGCCTAACACCGCCCCAAATCGGCTTCGGGAACTTCACCGAGCCTCACCTAGGCCGCCCGGGGTCACCGTCCGACCGCCGCTCGGCCGGCGAGGTAATTAAAAACGGCCTCTTTGAGGCATTTTATCAAATAGACGGTGAGCAGCGCAAAAAGGGAATCCCGACTGCTTTTGAGGCCTCGCCGTCCCGGGACACCCTTTCTTACCTTTGACGACGATGCACGGACGGCGGGGGACGGCGGTATGGGCCGGGACTCACGAAACGGCCGGCGCGGGTCCCGGCCAAACCGGAGCAAAAAGCGAGGGAAAACAGAGCGGTTCGGGCCGGGGAGAGCTCACCGTCGACAAGCCGCGTCCGGGAGGCTTCCGGCTGGTCGGCGGCGTTGGCGAGGCGACGGGCTTCCTTCTCACGGCCTGAGGACTCTCAGTTCACTCTCTATCTCTCTATTTTCGCTCAATCTCTCCCTCTCCTCTGTTTTTTTTTCTTGAAAATGGCCGACCAGGGCTGCTTCCGGGGGTTGCCGGTCGGCTTGCTGGTGACGACGAGATCGGCTGGGACCTGCAAGACCCTCCGAGGCTTCTCGGTTTCTCTCTGATTCTCTCCGGCCTCTCTCGGACTCTCTCTCCGTTTCTCTCGAAATTCGGCCGACCTCTCTCTCTCTCTCTTTCTGTCTTTCATAGCCGACTGACGACGAGCGGGCCGGCCGCGTCGGCGTGACGATACTCGCACCGGCCTATGCCACGCCACGACTTTCGTGGCCATTTGCAGCCGATACGAAGTGGGCGGAGCAGTGCGAGACGGGCGAGAGAGGAATAGCGAGCGAGAGGGAGGAAGAGATAAGGAAGGCGGGACAGCGGGGAGGACGGGACCGGCAATTAATGCCGGTCCGTCGGCGTCGTTCACACAGCCTCCTCAGCCGGCCGACAACGACGGCGAGAAGCGGCGCCGCCGTGCGTCACGCTTCCGTCGCGAACAGGGGAGAACAGGGGCGAGGAGAATGACCGGCGCAGGGGGAAGAGAAGGAAAGGAAGCTGGGCTGGGCTGGGCCCAGCCACGGGGGGGAGAGAAAAGAAAAGGAAGTGGGCTGGGCCCGCGTGGGGGAGAAAGAGAAAAAGGAAGAAAAAGGCCGGGTCGGCTCAGCCCCGACCCGGCCCGAATCGATTTCGATTTTTTTTTTTTTAAATTTTTGTTTAAAATTTAAGAAAATATGCTCTAATAGGCCCTATTAATGCACATATACCTAATGTCTATATGCAATGCATTTAAATAGAAATATTTTTTTGTTTTAGGAATTAAAGAAAATTAATTCCTAAATTTTGTGTAATTAATTTTTGGGGATATTAAAAATAGGTGTCAACAGCTGCCCCTCTTTGAAGGTGAGCTCGCAGAGATTGAGCTCGCAGAGGTTACGTTCAAAGATAAAATGACACCTAAATTTGGCCCATGCATGCTCAATGAATGTTATTTTTGGCGAGACCGAGTCCCCTTTTTATGATGCGATATAAGATGATGCATGCTAAAGCAAATAAAAACATACCCGGGCTACTTACCTTGCCGAAGGGTAGAGTAATTCCGGATGGTTGATATTGTGTGTCGAGGACCCGAACCTATCTTCGGTCGCCTTGACGGAAAAAGGTTTGTCTAGGACCCTAACCTTTCTTCGGTCGCCTTGACAGGATTGTTTTTGTCTAGGACCCGAACCTTTCTTCGGTCGCCTTGACTGGGGAAATCG